AGGTTTTAAACAAATAAATGGCAACATCCTCTGAGATTTGGATTTTAACTCCTCTTCTAGTCAATGTTTTTATTAATTTGTTATTTTTTAAATAAAAAAGTTAATTTTGACAAAAATTATTGAGTTGTAACCATTTTTGTAAAAATAAAAAGATCTTTCTTCGGGTTAATTATAACTTACAACCCAAATTTCTTCTAAATTCAAAACTAAGAGATCAGAAAAATGATAAAAAAAGATTGTTTCAAATATAATATCAAGGCAAGTGTAAAATAGGAAAGGTATATTTATTTTTGCACAAAGGGAAGAGGGTAATGAAATGCGTAAATGAGAGAGCAAATGTAGCATGATTGTATTCAACAGGAATAGTGCTATATGTACATTTTGCATGACACCATAGTTGATATTCCCTCCTATGTGGAGAAAATTTGTGCATGATGTGATGAATGAATTTAAAATCAAGAGTGTAAATATAGCATGATTGTTTCAAAAGACATGGAGTAGTCAAATACCAATGGCATTTAAAATTCTTCGAAAATACTTGATTATCATGTAAAATAAAGGTAAATAATGTATAAATATAAATTCTCTTTTGCTCCTTTAGCAATTGATTGTGTAAATATTACAAAGAGTATTTATGGTAGTGCATGCATATAGGGATGACAATGGGGTGGATGGTCATTTCTATCCCCCATCCGTCGGACATTTTTGCCACCTTGTCCCCATCTTCATACCCGATTAAAGTGAGGCGGGATGATGCAGGAGGATCCGAGTCAGACGAAGCCAAACTCTCTGATAGTACGTTAATGGCGCTAAAATACTATGAGTTGGCGGATCAGCGCAAAATTGACAAATGATCATCGACATTTCCTAATTGTGGCCTTTTTCGACACATTTTGGTATTTTGGCCATAACTTTGGCTACGGTTGTCAGAATCACACCCATGACTCCAATTCGAAAACAAATTTCATAACTAATTGTAAAAAAAAAATTAATGAACAATTTACATGTAAAATAAAGTCAAACAAACAATAAATTTTGATGAAAAAATGTTTTTTTAGGGACAAAAATTTTCGTTTTTTTTTATTATTACTTTTTGGTAATGAAAACAAATTTTATAATTAATTGTGGAAAAAATTATCACTTTAGTGGACAATTTCCATATAAAATAAAGTCAAACGGAAGCAAAATTTAAAAAAATTTCAGGTGAAAAATTACACTAATCAAGCACACTCAATTAACAATTCCTTGCAAAATAATTTCTAGACAATTACTTTCCCTTGAATTCATTTTTTTCCACTCATTTTCTACCCTTACAATCAAACGGACCCTTAATGTTGCTTCCTCGCTACATTTTTGTAATTAAATTTTAAATAAAGTGGTCGAGAGTCACGGTTTTAAAGTTGGGTTTTTTTAAATAAATCAAAATTCATCTTTTGATGCATTTTTTCTCTATTCCAATATTTTGAGATGATTGGTTCTGTCTTTGTTATTGTAGATATCTTTTGTTAACGATAAATTTCCTTTCAAAAATATTTTTCAATATTAAGTGATGATTTGCGCTCTACCTTGAGATCTCCAAAATGGACCCTTCTCAACGTATATGCCCAAACATGTTTTCTAAATTTTAATAAACTTGTACATAAATAAATACAATTTCTTAACTCGAACTCGTCTCTTATTCGTCACATCTCATCGCGTGAATTGTTGAACATTCCGACTAAAAGTGATCGATATTTGAACATAGACGAGAAAGGTAAAAACACAATTGGAGCGGTTGAACCTTTGCACGTAGGTGCACGCAAGGTACATAAACCGATAAACAAACAATTGGAATTATTAAATATAGAGTACATATATAACATCCAGAATTTATTCATTCAAAATGAAAATCTAATATTCATATAAAAGCTTTAGCATTAGTAGTAGTAGTAGAGTAGATGGAATCCACACAAAATTATCTGCATGAAAGAAGCGGCACACTAGGGAGGACCTGGTTTGATACCAAGAACCCTAAAAGCCACATGATTCTCACTCCACCGAGAAGAATCCAAATGACAGACAGCAATAGCTTCACTTTTATCCCCATATTCACCATCCAAAGAAGCCCTAAAAACCCTGCTTATACTTTCTTGATAATGGCAGTAGAATATTGTTTATGGGTATGGTATGGCATTGTATGGCATGCAACTGATTTAGGGGCTGAAATTTCTTGGATTTTCATTATGGTATATTTCTTAAAAGGGTTTTGGAATTTGTGAGGTGCGTTGTTGATAAAACTTTTATTTGAGATTCCATTCCTAAGATTTTCTGTATAAAATCAAGCATTGATTCTAAGGATGTAGCACAGAATTTGGTTTCTCCTTTAATGGGTTCTGTTTCACATTCTCTTAAAGTGTGTTTTCCATAGCTTGGGCTTGTGGTGAATCCTGAGAAAAAGAGAACAATTCAAGAAGATTTGGGAGTTTTTGTAATGCAAAAGGAGTTGAATCAGCTTCTTGTTGGGAGAGGAAATGAGGAGAGGAATTAGGTTTTCTTCTAGGGAAATGAATTGGCATTGAATTTCCTTGCTTTAAATCATCCAACTG